GCGCAGCTCCGAAGCCTTGGATTTTTTTCCATCCTTCGCCTTGATCAGAGAGACCGCGGTCTTTCCAAGATCGCGCTCCAGATCGCTAATCCGAGCTTCGAATCAAACACTTCCGCGGAATGCACATCTTCTATCGCCTTCAGTTTCCCCTCGAGCTGAGCCGGCCTCTCCTGTGACACGGCTAACTCCTTGGCTAAACGCTCAACTTCGGACCCACATTCTTTGATCATCCCATCGATCAACGAAACAAACTGGAAAAATCAAGAAAGATGGTCAGCTACGAATATATTCTTGAAAACGTATGTTTGCGAACCTGTACCTTGGTACGCTGCTGCGACATCGACATCAAGCTCGGTGTCTTGCTAGACGAAGCCCCGGTCTCGGAACCCTTCACGGCTCTCTTTCTCGCGGGAACATCAGGGTTCGGACGAGTTCTCTTGCAGCCTTTCACTGAAGCAGGCAGCGTCGTGCTAAGCGCCGGAAGTCCTAGGACAATCACCCTCTTGGCCGGAGCAGGAGGTCCAAGAATCGTGACTGGATCAGCCGCAGCAGGAGCTGCAGCCGGTCCGATTGCGGCAGGAGTCGTGACTGGTTCGACAGCAGTAAGAGTCGCAACCGGCTCGCCCATGGTCGGAGACACGACCGACTCCACCGTGGGGGGAGCTACGGCTATTCCAACCTCAGCAGAAGTAGCAACGTTTTCGGCTGCAAGGAGGGGCGAAACAGCAGGCGCACCCAACGGTCCGATAGTAGCGCCCGTCGAAGAATCCGCTGCCATATCGGTCGTTTCGTCCAAAATAGCCTTGACCTCTCTCGCAAGGACGGATGGATCTACCAAAGGTACGTCGCCCGACGCAGCATCTTCCTCAGCATCGCTACGGTCCATCTCATCTTGAAACAAGAGAAACTCAGAAATCCGAGCATCCTGCGGATGTTCCGTAGGGTTGTCATTGGATGGGACCTCACAGTTTTGTTGATCACCTTGGGAAGAAGCCATCTTAAAATTTTTCTAGAGAGAAGTTGGAGAGAAACTTGAGAGGTGGAAGATATGAGAAGTAATGATCCAATACTTATAGAAAAAAAGAGCTCTTCCTCATAATGAGACAAATCTTAGCCGTTGATTCCGATTTAAAAACTAACGCCATCCGCCTGCAAAATTTCCTCAAGGAATTGCAGGTTGGGGGCTAACTGTTGGTGTCAAAAACCGTAATCTCGAAATAAACGTCTACGATAACTTCTAGAATCATTACTTTCCGCAAAAGTCATTTATTAAAACAAAGAGTCGTTTTATAAAACTCGAAGAATCGTTTTATAAAACTCGAAGAATCGTTTTATAAAACTCGAAGAATCGTTTTATAAAACTCGAAGAATCGTTTTATAAAACTCGAAGAATCGTTTTATAAAACTCGATAAATCATTTTATAAAACTCGAAGAATCGTTTTATAAAACTCGAGAATCGTTTTATAAAACTCGAAGAATCGTTTTACGAAACCGCAAAAAACCGAAATAGCCGTAAAACGCGAACTAGTCACGACTAGTTCGCCCATGGGCGAACTAAGAGGCACTCGACTAGTTCGCCTATTGGCGAACTAAGCTGGCCCAGCTTAGTTTGCCAATAGGCGAACTAAGAGGCACTCGACTAGTTTGCCTATTAGCGAACTAAGCTGGCCTAGCTTAGTTCGCCAATAGGCAAACTAAGAGGCACTCGACTAGTTCGCCTATTGGCGAACTAAGCTGACCTAGCTTAGTTCGCCAATAGGCAAACTAAGAGGCACTCGACTAGTTCGCCCATTGGCAAACTAAGCTGGCCTAGCTTAGTTCGCCAATAGGCGAACTAAGAGGCACTCGACTAGTTCCCCCATTGGGGAACTAAGCCGGCCCGGCTTAGTTCGCCGATGGGCGAACTAGAGATTTCCTGGATATCCCGCGCCTCGATCTCCCGCATTCCCGACTCGAAACTTACGACACGGTCACGTTCTGAACCACGATCGAAATATCTCCCGTTCCATCTCGATCCGACTTATCGTTCGAGTTTTACGATAAAAACCGTAAAACTTCGCTTTCTCGATAAAGAACTCGAAGAAATCGTATAAAACGGCAACGGTTAAACGAAACACCGAACATTGCCTAAACTATACAATTTATTCGAGATTTCTCGTTGAAATCATAAATAACACGTTTTTAATAAAAAAAACGTCAGGTAAATCGTAAAAAATGTATTTTTAATAAAAAAGTCGAGTAAATCGTAAAACCTTACGATTAACTCGAGGAATTTATTAAAAACGATGTCAGATCAGGAAACGATCCCATAAAAGTCGGAAAACGGATTTATCGCGAAACGGTCCGGAAGGACCTAAAACGCGATAAAAACCCATCTCGCGATCTTAACGGAATCTAACCCAAAGATTCGATAACGTTTTGATGGTTTATTCGCAGAAGGAAAAATAAAAGACAAGTTTGAAGATAAATAGAAGATTTCCACGGAAGAAAAGGAAGGATCGAGAAAAATGGAAGATTCCCGAAATACTCAAATCCGGCAAAATGGAAAGATCAAACCATCAAGGCAAGGAGTATATAAACCAGAGGCGTAGGGCAGAAGAGGGGGACGAGATCAGACCTAAAAAAGACGGCTGCTAGCTTAGGAATTTATGACTTAGCGTTTTGAATATCAATCTAGATCCTTAGAACGTTTCGACGTCTAAGTACTTCAATTCTCTTCTTGTAACAGTTGTCAATTCTTCATTGTTCATCCATATTCTTTTAAATTCGTTTGTTTTAGTGATTTCCGCAGAGATCCAGGACCTCGGGAAAATTAGGGTTTCATCCTAAGTTTCCATATTTGACGGAAAATCGACAGTGAGGATTTCGGTTCCCACAGTCATGGCTGTGATGGTGATGAGACCAAAGCTTATAAATGAATCGATTGGTTCATATGGTTATGGCTTATTTGTTAGGTTTTTATGGTTTGATCGTTGATGTCATCACTATTATCTGGTTTGTCATCTCCTTCGTCCAAGTCTACTCAGTCGTAGATGAACTCGAGATTCTTCGTGGGTGAGTTGAGGATCTGCCATGGGTGGTCTCAGAGTAGATTATGTGGAGTTTCAGAGAGTGGATGACCTTGGGATTCACTATGGATGAACTCGGAAAAACTGCGTTGGAGTTTTAGAGTAGATGAGTTTGGGATTCGCCATGGGTGAGCTTGGAATTCGCTGTGGGTCTTAATTGGAATCAGTTTAGCTCCGATTGATGAAACCAATCTCAGTAGCAGAGGTAAAAATAATAATTTGATATACAATGCTAACTGTCAAAGCTTTCTCCATAAATACGCTACCAAATTTTATTTGTTTTGTTCTAGAAATTTTCGTTTGATAACACAAATCCTAAATGGTAAGTTTAATACCAACTTAATAGGAGATTGAGAGTGGGGATGGAATCAAGAAAGAATTAAGAGTTCAAGAGAATTGAAGCTAGACAGACTTTGTTTCTCGGAATCGAAGTAAGATTTTTTTGTGTTCTCTTCTTTGTTTTATTTATTAGTAGTTTGGTGTTCTGAAAAATTTAAGAGAAAGTATTTGACTTTAGTTTGTTCAATTGTTGTTTGATTTTGTATATGTCATCATTTTGTGTTTTTGTGTTACCGTATTTTGTTCCATTTATATTTTGTCTCGTTTGTTGTTTGTCTGATGTGGCAAAGGAAATTGCAAACAGTGTCACCTACCAAGAATATATAGTTTCTGAAAGTTTTTGTTGGATACGTGCATGACATGATCTTGAAAGGAATTCTAATGAAGTCATAAAGCTCAAGAGTTGATGCTACTACTTATCCAAAACACATAGTATCCACGTGTCCCATGTCCTCGAGAACACCATCTACTCCTCACAGATTCATACAATGGAGGTTGTGGTGGTTATGGAGGATGAGGTGATGGATACGTAGGTGATGAATATAAATGTAGAAAACATGAGAGGTGGATACAATGGTGGTGGTGGTGGCTACTCCGAGAAGACAAGGTTGTATATGATGGATGTAAAAGATGTTCATATATACTTGAAAGATATCCACAAAAATACATTTTCATAGATATCAAAAAGTTGTTCATAACATATGTATCTAACTATGTACATAAATATTTTATTTAAACACAGAAAATCAACACTCAAATCAAATAAATAGAAACAAACGTCAACTCTGGACTGAATTGAAGATCACAACAAAATCGAACGTATAGATCGAAAGATACAAAAACAAAATAAAAGTTCTTCTTCTCTTCTCTCTTTTTGCATCAGAGTGGAAATTAGAAAAAAAAAACAATAAGAAAGTGAAAACAAAACATCTCCCTCTCTGAATCTCCCCCCTTGTGAAAGATAAGAACGTGTGATTCTATTAATATGTGATGCAAGCAAAATATGTTTCTGTGTAGAAAAGGATAAATGTCTCTTTATGATAATTCACTCATCAATAAAGTATTATCATCACTTAGGGATGAGCACGGATCGGATATCTGGAGTTTCGAAAGTATTTGTGATTTGCTTCGTATTTTACGGATATCTAATTTTGGTATTTGCTTTGCTTCGAAAAAATATGAATATCGGGAAAATAAATAAATATTTGCAAATATTTACGAATACTTACAAATATCTTATCTGTTTTATTTAATATAAATAATCTTAAAACTTTGCTACCAATTTATTTTATAAAATATTTTTTTGCATGATATTTAAAAAAAAAAATTAAAAAGAAATAGTGAATTTACCTATTTTGTAATTTTTTTTAAGTTTAAGTTAACAACTATAATAACACAAAACTTAAATATATAATTTTCATAAATCTTTTTTTCTTTTTATGTAGTACTTTTAAATAAATAATAATGTGAATATAATTGGTCAAATCATATACTAAGATAATAATTATATAATTTTAGACATTTAAAATTATAATATAAATAAAATATACATGTATTTATATGTATATTTCCGGATCGGATCAGATATTCCTAAAAATTTGTTATTTATGATTTGATTGATATTGAGTTTTAGTTATTTTTGATTTGAAAATTTATGGATATCCAAAAAAATTTTATTTGAAAGTTTACAAATATCCAGAATTTTCGAATCGAGAAAAATAACTAATCAATTTAACAAATAAAATACCCGGCCCTGGTCATCATCGCATCAAAACAAATGAATTAACATATTCTCGAGAAAAAGGATAAAGAAAACAAAGAAATGAAACGTGCATTTTAGTGTTCAGTGCGATGGTCCACACGATTATAAAACTATATAAATTCTTCACAGATAAATAAAATAAAATAAAATAAAAACCAAAACCAAGCACTCAAGTAAATTAAAGCCACCGACAATACGGTTCTCTCGTTCAGGCACCATCCACGCGCTGCCCAGACAACCCAACAAACTGCCCGCATAGCTGTAGTCACGTTACCTATACGACGCGTTTAGACTCACTAATTTTTTTTTTCTTTTTACGTTCTTCAGACAGTGGTGACGGTGCAGTTCTTGGTGATAGGTATATGCTTATTGAGATTCTTGTGTTCGAAGTTGATGTCACACTCGATTTTCTTGAGGAACTTGGGCTTCACTAACCTCCCCAACACGTAAGCTCGTGATCGAACAACGAAACTGAGCTTCATTGGCACGGGTGCAGGAGGAGCGGGCGGGTCAGGAATAACAACTGGAGCTCCCTTCTTCTTCTTTTTAGGTTTTGGAAGTGGAGCTGGAGGCGCTGGCGGTATCAATGTCGCGCCACTTCCATATAACGGAATCTTCTCTCCGATAACATGTACCAATACCGTTCTCTCGCTCTTCCTTGACTGATAAAACTTCTTAATCTGCAAATATCATAAAGCCAAGAGAAAATAATACATCAGAACCTAAACAGTTTTATATGTTACAGCTAATCTCAAATTTTATCGGATGTTAAAAGAAAACAATTCAGGGATTTCTAATTGCAGATTGTCCCGAACTAACCCAGAACCGATCTTATAAAACTGAACTGAAACACTTGCAAGTCCTAGATGGTCGTCTATTAATTATCGACTCAAAAGCCTTGAAAGATTATGACTTACAGAACCAGAGCCGATTTTCATCTGGGAGAAACTGAGATCGACGGGAGTTGAAGTGACATGGACACCAAAGAAAGTTCCAGTGTTTCGATACAACATCCTCAGAGTTGCGTTCATGGTGATCATGTCCGTTCCTACACCACCAGCATCTTGACCGGCTTGGATCTTGAGCGTCTCGAATGTTATACTCTGCAAAGTTCAGATCTGAGAATCGAATTCTTGAATCAGATTTTGGAAACGTAAGAGAAAAACTAACCTTGACGGTGATTTTGGGTTTCTGAGGTTTAGCAGCTCCATAGAGAATCAAAGAGAAGAGACCAAAGAGTATGAAGAAGCCAACGATGAAGGCCAAGACATAGCACCGACGAGGGACACCACGATCTCTCTCGCCATCATCTAACAACCCTTCTTCTTCAATCATGGCACACTCCTTCCACTGCTTCTCTCCGCCGTGTCCTTTCCGCTTCGAGCCGTCGTTGACTTTCCGAGACCCGGGTTTTAAGGATCCGGAGAATCGGGTCGAGGAGGACTCTCGTGAGTGGCGGCCCATGGAGGATTGAGAATGAGGCGGAGATCCCATCGGACTTAGTACCGGGGTTGAGTGGAAGGAGGTCGCTGTTTTCTCTCCGTCATGAGAGTCACGAGATGGGGACTGGACGTAGTAGACTGGTCGACGTGGAGATCTGGCGGGTGACGACGCCGCGATGCTCGTCACCTCGGAATCTGTTTTGGCGTGCATCTTTGGACTTGGAAGCTGGGAAGAGCAAAAAGATTGTTCCTCTGGGCACTGAAAATGGAGGGAGGAGAAAAGGGAAAGTGAGTAAATGTAACGATGACTCAATGTGTGGTTTTGTAATATTTTACCAAACGCGTTCCTAATTATACAGCTGTGGACTTTATATAATTGTCTTTAAACTAATTTATTACTAGCAAAAACATTATTTGATTCAAAAAACATTTCCGAATGACAACTGTTTTCATTTGTTTTTCTTCATATTTTAAGATTTTCTCTTTATTTTAATATGGTTAAGCACAACGACCAAAAGAAAGAAATATGGAACCTTTTTTTGTCGGCGATATCCCCTTCTTATTATTTGAGAAGAACTTTTGCAAATAAACCTTTAGTTCATGTGTTTATTACATGCATGCCATTTCCTACGTGGCAACTCCACAAGCCTTCTCACATCTTTTAACTAAAAGACCTTGGTTAACTAGAATAATTACACAACATGCCATTGATAGAAATATACATATATGACATATATGATATATGACATGCATATACTCGGCATATAGTTAATTAAATTTCCTTATATATTTCCTTATATATTTCCTTATATACGATACAATATATTTTGTTACATAAGTATGATATATTTCCTGATATAAGTATTTTGTCATCACCTACGATATATTTCAAAATATATTTCCTTACATGAAGTATAAATAAAAATAGGAAAAAAATGAGACCTTATTTCATAATTAGGCATATATTTAAATTTTAAATATAATATTTTATATTTTATAAAATCGAACTTTATATTTTATATTTGGACAATATTCGATGTACAAAATATTATTGTCTTCAACTTCAAAATATATTTCGTTACATAAGTATAAATAAAAATAGGAAAAAAATGCGACCTTATTTCATAATTAGGCATATATTTAAATTTTAAATATAATATTTTATATTTTATAAAATCGAACTTTATAAAATATTTCGACAATATTCGATGTACAAAATACTATTATCTTCAACTTCAATTAACATTA